CTTCCTAGAGATGTACAATTTCTGAAAATGTTGAAGCCATGGGGAAAATATTTTTTCTATTTTTCCACAGGGGAAAAAAACCAGAAATGTTGATTAAAACTGAAGTATATGCAATACTTACTGTCCTATTAAAACTAAACTAATTTTACTGATTTAATAATCAGAAAACACATTGTTTATAAATTAGCATATAAAACTACAATATCTGACATATTTCTGGAATTTGTTATAAAATGCCTTAGTCTTCAACAATCAGAATTGCAAAGGTAACCAATACTTGAGAGAAAACTGCAGGCTGATGCACCTTAGGCTACCTTAGCACGTGTGCCTTAATTCCAGCTAGATGCTGTCTTCTTCCTTCTATAGCTACAGGTCAGAGAGAGCTCATTTATCAATTACATTTTCAGAGTGAGGTTTTGGTGGAGTTTCTGCCCCACATCCTTGTGATCTTTTTTACTTTCAGCAAGGTAGGACAAAAAGCTACTTTTTAACCCAATATGTGGGCATATGGATCACAGCGGTTTGAGAGACAAAAGATCCACCACAAGTGAAGAATAAGGTTAAAAGGACAACAGAAGGCATGCAACAACTGAGAAGAAATGAAATCTCTGCGTGCTCCTCTCATGAAGATTAAGTGACCTTCTAGGTGCAGCAAGGCATCTTGGATTTAAGAGCTGCATATGTCTTCCATTGGGAAAACTGGGAAAGAGCATCAGGAAGAAACTGTTTTCTCCCTTGAATTTTACTTTTTTTTCTCTTGGCCTTTACATCTCCAATTCTGCCAAACAGTTTTATTGTGTTACTTATTGCAAAATGTTATTTAAAATCTCATTTGTTTTGTTGGCCAGTTTCTATAAGCCCCTTTGTAAATTATTTTTATCCTAATTTGGTATGCAAAACCTTTAAAGAAAAGGTAATATATGAAAGGTCTGTTTTAACTGTCAGCTACCTTGGGTTGAAATGTAGAGAGGCAGGGTAGTAACTTAAAACAACAACCACACACATATAAATGTTGATAATAAGCCAAGTCAACTGCTACTGTTACTTACTACAAGCAACAGATAACCTAATGCCTGTGTTCTGCACACAACATAGTGAACCCTGCTTGCAGACCCCCACTTTAATTCTGGACACAATCCAGCTCCCTCTGACTCAAGCATTTCCACAAAGCTCTCCCTGCTTTCCAGCACCAGGAGGACTGGAGCTATGTGCTAAAGTCGCTGCAGGAAATGTCACCGACCCTTATAAAGGCAGAAGAGTCCAGAAAACAGCCTAACTCTGCCCATCCCTTATGTCAGACAAAAAGAACTTAAGCTAACTTGGGCTTTGTACAAAAACGATCAATGAAACTGAAGACAACATTCCACAATTAATTCTAAGGTGAATAAATAAATAAATCCCAAGTCCCAGCATTGCACTATCAATATTAGATAGGGGCTGACATCCATGTAAAAGCACTGTCTAGTGGCTAAAATAAGCCAACATTTCTAATAATGTAGCTTGATTCACAAGACCAAAATACTGAAAAGTCCAACTTCTCCCAGAAAAGGGCCCTTGAAATAATCCCTCTTGGCCAGGGAATTCCAGGGTAAACCTGTGACAGCAAATGCTTTGCCAAACCTCTATCAGACAAAGTCCTCTTTATCAGAAAAGTTCACAAGCAATTAGGAGTTCTAACACAACTGGCTAAAGGCAGATCATTGCATAGGGTTGGCTGCCCAACTGCACTGTGCCACTGAAAGGAAGACCCTTGCACGGACCACTCACCCCCAGTGCAATGGACTTGAAAAGCCCCTGGGGGGAAATTGCCAGCAATCTTGCCTTTCTTCACATGAAAGCCTCCATTTTTTTTTAAAGCAATGTATCCCCAAATCCCTGGCAAAACTGCAAAGGATGCTAAGGTGCTACTTTCCAGCCACACACATGCTTGTACCGACACTGCGATGTTTACAGCGCAACAGTGAGGAGCGGCACACTGCCTCAGGCTAGCCCTATGAACCACCCCCATTTCAAGAAGGCAAAAAGGTACGCTATGCAAGCAAGCCAGGAAGGATGTTGCTTTACCCGTGGCGAAGTCTCTCCAAAGAGAGGCCTGTTATCCACCCCTCTGGTCCCATAGGTCCGGGTGGTAAAGTCCTCCATTACTTCCCCAACTCTTCTCGAGCTCAGTTTGTATGGCTCACTCCCACATTGATGGGTCCTCTCAAAACAAGGCCATCCCTGGCTTCAGAGAGGCCTGGAGCCCACAGCACATGGCAGAGCACACATCAGGCAGAGGCTCCCGCAGCACCAGGCTACACACAAGTCGCAGTTCAGAGCCAGGGATCCAAGCCTCCCATCAACACCTCCGCTTTCTTCCTCATCATTAGGAGCTAAGAAGAGAAACAGAAAAACAGAATGTTTGCTATGGGTCTGCACGTCTAGATATCGTCATCTGAGGCCCTGATGAAAGCAGTTCATTAGAAGATTATACCAAACGTGATCCTGGTTCCCTTTCTCCCCGCCCCCAATTATTTCTTTTTCCTTCGCCTGTTCGCAAGTTCTGCTAGCACTGTCTGGTAAAGGGGAAAACCTGGCAAGACAGTGAAGCAACTCAATCCTGTGCAGATTTACTCAATTACTCAAGGTAAACCCCACCAGATTCGTGGGGATTACAGCTAAATGAGCATACCAGAGAAGCCTTCACTCAGGGAAAGTCGACCTGAATTCACTGGGGCTCACATCCGAGAAAACGTAAGGGCGCATAGGGTGGAGGTATTTGCTATTCCTGCCAGAGAGACCAGAAATCCTGCCGGTGCAGCTTGCGGGAAGCAAGATTCCCTTCTCTTCTCAGCAGGTTAGGTACGATTCAGTCCAGAGCTGGAAGGAATGACTAGGAGAATTCAATCCAGAGTTGAAGGCCGGCTGCTCGCTAGTAGGAGATCGCCCCTACTTTGGCTCGACCCGTCCTTCGATTTTAAACCCCCCCCCCAACTTGGAAATCTCTCAAAACGCTATCAGCTTCAGCATTCGAAAGCAGCTCAGGGATTTTAAATTAAAGCGGCAGCAACTTTTGCCCACCTTCCGCCTGCTGCAAAGGATCTGAATTCCGCTAAACCCTTTTTTTCCCCCCCCCCCGGCCACCAAAGCGGCAGCTGCTTCCAGAAGTAACCCTTCCCTGCCAGGAGAGCTGCGGCGGTGGCCTCGATCCGAAGAAGAAATGGCAGGCAGGCGAAGAGAGGCACCCCGCTCCTCCCGAGAGCACGTCTTCGAAGCCGGGTTGGCCTCCTTGGAAAGCACCCCCCCCCCACCGCGCGCGCTCTCCAGCCCCCGCAGGTGTTCCTCCCCCGCGTCCCCCTTTCTTTGGCCAAGGCGAAGGGCGGCCACATGCCCCACAGACGCCTGGCAACACAACATTCCGCGACCAACCGCGGGCCGCGCCAAAGTTCCACCGCCCCGGCTTCTTTACTTACTCGGCGCCGTGACCTCCCATGAGCCGATCCCAGCCGCCGCCAATCTCACCTCTCACTCCGCCGGCTAATCTCCCTCCTCGGCGCTAACCGACCCGCCTCCTTCGCCAGGCCAGCCTTCCCCCGCCGCTCATTGGTTCGCCTGATCCAATCGCCGCCCGGAGAATACCTGCACCTTGCCCGCAAGTCGCCGTGGATTGTCAGCGCTCGCCGAAGAGCAGTGAGCGGCGATGGCAGGCCCTTCTCACACCCTGGGAGGAAATCACTTGAAAACGGAAGGGGGGTGATTGATGGCGGGGCCCCTACCCGGGTAAGAGGCCAGCGCTGGTCACCGGCGTTGCCAGAAGAAGCGCCGCCTTTCTTTTCAGTGCAGGGAGGTTGCCTGTGGCTCCTTAGTCTTCGGGATGGCAGAACGAAGGCTCCTCTCGGCCGGGAGAGCTTAAGAGAACCTTCCTACGCAGGGGCACCCAAGCAAGGAAAGGGCTGCTCCACCGCAGGAGTTGCGCTCAATTCTCTCCTCCTGGGCCCGCACCACTGCAGTGCTTGGCTTGGATCCAGACGGCGGTGGGACGGGCTGAGGGGGGTTCGGGGGGGGGCAAAATTCCTCCAACCGGGCCTGGTGCCTGTGAATGGCAAATGGGGAAGGCCTCCCCGTCCATGCCCTGATCATGAATCCTGGGAGGTGTCCTCGCCTCCCACCGCTAGGAAAGGAAGTTCGGCTGATGAACCCTGCTGGGACTCCGATTTCCCAGCCAGGCAGTTGCTAGGTCTGTTCTCATTAGTAACTTTTGAGTCTGGACATCAATGGCCCTGGTCACACCAAGCATTAGGCAGCTAGAGAGATGGAAGATAGGCAGATTTTCCGGGCACGATCTCACCGCCACATCTGGGAAGCGTAGAGCTCCCATGGCTCACCCGAGGCTTCACTCCGAAGATGCGCTGTAAAAAACTAGTAAGGGCGGGCGTCAGATCACGTTTCTGGTGCTAGCTCATGGCATCCGGCGCCCACCCATGTCCCGTCGCAAAAGGTTTTTTTTTTTTTGTCAAGTCTCCACGGGTGCGCACAAGCACCCAACAGCGCATGTGAACACTTGGGTTAAAAAAAACGACTCAACCCCCACGGCGGCGCTTCTTTGCCACGCCGCAGGAGGTATGATCGGCACCTCCCCCCAACCATGGGACATCGGGCGGGACGTTTGATCCGGCTGCCACGCGGTAGTTCGCTCCGGGGCAAACAGCCACGCCTCCCCCCCGCGATATCCAGCCCGTGTGACCGGGGCCAAATTAAATGAACTCTTTGGCTACAGTCAGTGTGGTGGAGTGGTTAGAGTGTCAAGAGTCTGATCTGAGAGACCCGCACTCCAATCCCCCCTTTGCCTTTAAAGCTTGCTGGGTGACTTTGGACTAGCGTGAGGGTTGTTTGCTACTAGGATAAAATGGAGGTGAGGGGAAGCAAATAGGGACCCCATTTTCGATAACTGTGCGGTACAACTGAGTGAAATAAATAACAATTCTAGTCTGCTTTCTTGCTCATTTTGGCTACTACAGTTTCAAACTCGGGCTGATTAAACCTACAGCTCATTAACCATGCACTCCTATGCAGAGTTACTTCACCTAAGCCCCTTGAATTCAGATGACTTTAGAGCGGTGTGATCCTGCCCAGGACTGTGCTCCATGGCACCCCCTTAACAAAAGGTCAAACTGCATCTCGTGTGCACTAGGTTTGGAGTAAGCCCCTTTGTACTCAATGGGACTTGCTTCCTAATCAACTTGCCTAACAATCAAAATTTTCAGTTTTCAAATGTGCTTGACACAATGCCTTTGTGTGGCTTATCACATGACACACTGGACCATAATTTATTTTTAAAAACTTCTGCCCTTGCTAAAGTGTTTGCCAGGGCTTGTTTTGCAATGGAGCAGCGGAATGTGAGGAGTATCAGCCATGACCAAAACAACATATAAACCCAGACCGCTTTCCTGCATCCAACATACCTGACGTGACATCCTGCCTAAACCCAGAACCTTCGGCAACATTCCAGGGGCAACCTCACACTCTAGGGTCATGGGCCACTTTTCATGCTGTTTTCCCTACTTTCTGTATTCTTAAAACACAAGTATGAAAGATGCCTGTTATCATAAATACAAATAGTCACAGGCACATGTACAAGAGACCAGGCTCCCAGAAACTTTGCCAAAGGGGGGCGTGGCGACACTGCGAAACATAGCACTTGACTAAACCGCAGTCTCCGGCCCTGATACCGTCCCCCACTCACCACACAACACAGCAGCCTACGGAAAAGAGAACCAAGCAATGGGAAAATCGGGCGGAACGAAAGTGCAATCCCCAACTGGTAAGAGCGAGACAATTCACCCCTATTTTCCAGTCAAAAATAATAAAACACGGAGGGAACTTACTGAAAAACAAAATGGCGACTGGAGCTCTTAACGCGCCTAACAAGGCTTCTATGGATAGCCCGGTGCTAAAAACTTTACAAGCTTCACTGCAAGCGTCCTTCCAATTGATGGAATCGACTATTTTAAAATTCTTAACTGAAAAAATGGCTGGAATGCTCAGCCCTCTGAATGGTAAACTGACAGGCATAGCTGAAACGCTGGCACAGAAAGTGCAAAAAACAGAAATGGCATTCACGCTCGCACAGACTGTGCAGGAAGAAACCCGCTCACTCCAAGGAGAGACCCAAGCACTGAAGGACTGTTTCTTATCTTGAGATGGTGTATGAGTCTGGGGTCAGCCTCCCCTGTCGTTTCACCTTGAGGGTGAGCTAATTCAGACCTCCAGACAAGTAGCGAGATCCTCTCCTCTCGAGTAGGTCTCCTGTCCCTGGGTTCTCCTCCCGGGATGAAAGGAAGCTCTCACTGATTGCACCGTCCCACACACTTGCTTTCTCCAAAAATCAACATATCTTTATTTAAGAGGAGCAAAGATTAAAAAAACACAGCTCCAGAGATAAAAACACCAGGATAAATAACAATATTCACAAAGACTTAAAACACTGAGGCAATGTGCTGAGTGGATGAAGGAGTAGTTCTCAAGCCGCTAGAACGGAAACGGCCCTGAGCAGAGCGCTGTGAAGTTAGTTATTCTCAACAGAAGGCTGGCAAGGCTACAAGCAGGAGAAAGGAGAATGAAAGTCTTTTATCAAAGAGCCACCTTGGTGGAAGAAAACTTGCTTTTCTCTCCTGAACTGTTGTCTCTGTTCCACTGCCGGCTTGGTCAGTAACGGTGCCTCAATTAGCTACAGCTGCTGCTTGAACAATTGCCAAGTTTTCTTATATCCTCCCTACAAGGCCCGGATGGTATTTCGCTTCAGAGCCTTAAGGGGGACACACCACAATGCCAAATAATACTTCCATACACCCCCCCATGCAGAAAGCGAGTGACTTAGGTCATTCGCCTTTCTGCGATCAGAACAATGCCTTTGCTGCATATATTAAAATCATCTAACAACATACATACAAACCCGCAGTTACATATACATATTCAACTGTAGCCCATAACCTCAAAATCAGCAAAGATGCTCAGCCATTTACTATAAATCAGCATGACACCGTGAAAGGGAATCTGCTAGAGTGTTATCCCTCCCTCTAATATGGGTAACTTCGAAAGACATATCTTGCAGAGATAATGCCCACCTCAAGATTCATACAGATGGCCCTTCATCAAAGTAACCTCAAATTTTATGGTCTCGCAGAAGGACTTGAAGGGAATGCAGACCTCATATGCTTTATGGGAAATCTGACTGCTGCAGAGCTGGATGCTGAGGAGGGTGTTTTTCCTGTGATCCTCAAAGCCTTCAGACAAGGCCCTCCAAATGTCCCCAACAGAAAATTCCCCAGAGACATTGTGATAACCCTTGCGGATCTCCATGTGTGCAAATCCATCTTACATCTTGCCAAAAAAAGGGCCACCTTACATTTCGGGAAATCAACATTACAGTCTTGCCAGATATACCCCCAGAGGTTCTTCAGCTCTGGAAAACTTTAAAACCTGTCACCTCAAGACTACAAGATGCTGGCTACAAATACAAATGGACTGCTCAAGTAAAGCTCCTCGTGATATATCAAGGGCGTCAGCTCCTAGCTCAAGACAAAGATAGTGGGCAGTTTCTACTGCAAGCCCTGTACCTTGACGATCCCATGGACCTGGACAGGAAATCTTACAAGAGAACGTTCTCTTCAGCTGAATCACCTGAAAAACTGACCAAAGTTCCAGCGCACTAGAGCTTCCCATTTTCAGCAGCAATTATTTCATGCCTTACTAAAGTCATGTCTCATTTACATTTCTGTTTTTTATCTAACTACTTTGCTTTAAATCAGAATTTAGTAATGCATGGCTGCTTCCCTTATACTATGGTTTTAATCCACTAGGGGATGGGGGGAGAATGATAAGTTTTGAAGCTCCCAGTTAGAGTTAATAGTGTTAATTGTGTTATTAATTGTGTGATTAACTGTATTGTTATATTAACTTAATCATAATTAATTTAATCCAACTTAATTTTGTTCCTATACCTTCACAAAGATACATTAATTGTCAATAGTGTATACTTCTGACAGTTTGACAGTCTGGTGGTCTACTACTTGTAGCTTATATATCAGTTTATTATAAATTTTTCCTGCCTTTATACAATACATAGCAATATTTAAATGTTCCTAAGAATAATCGGTTAGTGATTTTCATTGGAGTTCCATTAAAATAATTCTTTAGGATAAATACACTAGTTAACTGAAATTGTTAAGCAGTTTAGTAGTTAGGCAGCATAAAATTCTCTAGGGTAAATATTTTTAGATAGACTTGTTTGTGTAGTTTAGTACAATTTCTCTAGGTTAATAGTTAGGTCTTTAGGATAAACACTTTTCTGGATACTTGAATTTAGAATTATAGTGGTTTTTAAGCTACCTTTTATTTGTTATTCACACTCTGAACAGAAAACCTTACCCAGCCTCACTAAACCACAATAGACTTCCATAGCACAGTAAATATATACTTTATTTTCAAACAACATGCCACCCACTAAAGTTATGTCATTCAATGTACGTGGTCTGAACA